CTAGTGCAAGGGACCTACCTTCCAAATCAGGTTAAAAGCCTTCAAGGAAGCTGTTGATAGACCATAGTTCAAGTACAACACCCAGAACAGAAACTGCACTGAAGGACGAAACTACAAAGGACATCTTCACATCAGTCAGCCACCAAGACAAAATGGGAGATATCGAGCAACATCCCTGAAGAAACATGTGTGGAAGAACACTGGAAGTCTTTGAAAGAGATGTGGAAAAAAACCTACATAACGGTGTTAGGAAGGAAGGAGAAAGAAGATAAGCAATGGATCTCGATGGATACATGGAAGCTGATAGAGCAGGGAGAGGAGGATGGTGAAGCAGAAAATAAACCAGTGCAAGGCTGCACAATGAGAAGAGGAACTGAGCATAATGTATAAAACACTACACTGGACAAAGAAGTGAAGAAAAGTGCACGGAAAGACAAAAGACACTTCCACGACACACTGGCAAGTGAAGCAGAACAGGCTGCAGGTAGGAGAGACAGAGACCTGACAACACTGTATCAGATAACCAGGTTGCTATCTGGGAGGAGATCAACGCAGACGAAACCAATAAAAGATGGTGACGGATATTTAATTATGAAAGAAGAGAAACAAGGGAAACAATGGGCCGACCACTTCAAGAAGCTCTTGAATCGACCACCACCACCACCTGCACTTCGTCCAGAAATACCACCTACAGCCGCTGAACTACAAGTGAACATAAATCCTGCAACGAAAATGGAAGTCCTGAACGCCATAAAGCTACTGAAATGCGGGAAAGCAGCAGGATCAGATGGGATCCCGCCAGAAACACTGAGAACAGATGCAGAGACAACAGCGAACATGCTCACACTACACCACTATTGCAGAAGGTGTGGAAGGAAGAGAAGGTACCTGGCGATTGGAAGAAGGGTTACCTTGTCAAACTGCCGAAGAAGGGAGACCTCAGTGTTTGCAAGAACTGGAGCGGAATCACTCTCCTGTTCACCCAAAGCAAGCAAAATATTAAGCCGCATCATCCTGGAGAGGCTAAAGAATGCACTGGATTCAAAACTACGACCGGAACAGGCAGGCTTCAGGAAGTACAAATCACGTACACACCAAATTGCAACGCTTCGCATCATCATAGAACAGAGCATAGAATGTCAATCAGCTCTCTACCTCAACTTTATCGACTTTGAGAAGGCCTTTGACAGCGTCGACCGAGAAGTAATTTGGAAACTGCTTCAACACTACGGAGTACCGCAAACCTTTATCCGCCTCATTCAACAACTATATGAAGATGCCACATGCCAAGTAATTCATAATGGGAAGCTCAGTGATGCCTTTGAAGTGAAGACAGGAGTGAAACAAGGTTGCCTACTATCCCCCATGATATTCCTGATTGTGGTTGACTAGACTGGATCATGCAGCAAACATTGAGGAGCGAGAAGAGGGGGATACGCTGGACGGTGGAAAAGAACCTAGAAGATCTGGATTTCGCCAACGATAACTTGTGTCTGATGTCACACAAACTTGAAGATCTACAGGTGAAAACTAACAAGTCGGAAGAAGAGGCAGAGCAGAGAAGACGGGACTTCAAGTGAATCTAGAGAAGACAGAAGTGATGAAGATACCACACCAACAACTCCAACAGCAACAACAAACTCCAGTCACCATCAACGGGAGAAACTTAAAGGAAGTAACCTCCTTCACCTATCTAGGAAGCACTGTTTCAACTACAGGCGGCACAGACGAGGACTTCAAAGCAGCCAGGATCGGAAAAACAAGACAGGTGTTCATCAGTCTGAAACCAGTGTGGAGATCTTCTGCACTCAGCATGTGGAACAAGATCTGGATTTTCAACACCCACGTCAAGTCAGTGCTTCTGTATGGTTCAGAGACTTGGCGCGTTACGAAAGGCATTTCCAATAAACTACACACATTCATCAACAACTGCCTACGCTCACTACTGAAGATCAGATGGCCAGAAAGAATAAGCAACAAGGAGCTCTGGGAACGAACCAACCATGAACCTATCAACCAACAAATATGCACTGGAAGGAAGTGGAGATGGATTGGGGATACGCTGAGAAGGCCGACTGGGGACATCACGCGTCAGGCCAGTTGCTCGAGTGGAATCCCCATGGGAAGCGACGAGTTGGGTGTCCGGGCGAGGGTGACGTGGAGGAGGTCGTGCGAGGAGGAAATGAGAGGTTGTGGGCTGTCGTGGAGCCAGGTTGAAAAGATTTCAGAGAACAGAGTGGAATGGAGACGTGCTACTACTACTACTACTACTACTATACTACTACTACTACTACTACTACTACTACTACTACTACTACTACTACTACTACTACTACTACTACTAATATATATATATATATATATATATATATATATATATATATATATTCTTCAAGTCACTCCAAACTATCATTTAGATTTGTTCACATTTTGAATTATTCTGTTGTATTGGCTGTGAATAAGACTTGGTGTCTGCATTTTAAAGGTCAAGGTTATGAATAAGCTTATGCCTTGACGCTCGTTCGTAAAAATCCTTTTACTTATTTAAGTGAATATCTTGATAACGGTGTTATTCGCTTTATGTTAATTAAATGATCTTGATTAATTAATTTTCATGTTCACTGCACAAACAACTAAATAGAGTTAAATGATGACTCATCGTACTTTAGAACACTTTTCAACTCTGTCGCGGTTTGTTTACACATGGTCAATCACCACTACTAGTCAAATATAACTATTCAGTTTTTGAGTGACTTTATAGGCCACCGTAGCAACTGTTGAGATAACCAATCAGGCCTTTGTATTTTATGAAAAGCCACCTTTCTAGACGAAATACCAAACCCGATTGTTTATTCCCGCAGTTGCTAGGACGTCTTTTAAAGTCGCCCCAGTTTATTTGGCACTGTTTACTAAAAAATGTGGTTCAAGAAAAGGGTTAGTCATTGTAAGGCCTTGAACAACCTTGACAAAATAAAAATGAGACATGAAGGTTATGGAAATACTGCTACGAATTATGGTAATCCAATCAGGAAGTTTGTGCTGATGATATTGTCTAGAATGACAACGAAAGCTCCACGATTGGACCACCCAACTCAGAGAATGCAACACCACCAAAGGAAGAGAAATATGTCAAGTGCGATTAATATGAAAAAGTAATAATCCCTTAAACCCTATATTGTCTATTCTTTCTTCACTTACACATAAATTGACGAGATGTTTTGAGAACATGTTTAATCCCATTCGAAACGAACTCTGTAAGTTTTCATTGAAAATACTTTACAACTTGTTGACTGCCTTAGTAGCATGAATATCAAAAACAAGACTTTGTGCTCTTTTATGTAAATACATTATTCACTAAAGTACCGTTATCTAAGGCTATAGATATTCTTTCTGACCACTTATCTTCTAGAAACCTCCAATTTCCTATTGCTCCAACGTTCCTGATGGAACTACTACTGCTATGTCCCGAAAAAGTTCATTTCACATTTGACAGTGAACACTTTCAGCAAAATAATGATGTAGCTATGGATATTCCCTTAGGACCAATACTAGCTGACATCTATATGTCGTATATAGAAAATATGGCTGCTGATTTCATAACGAAAGTTACTCTTTACGAGAGATATGTCGATGGCACCATAATGATTTGTGACAGGTATGAGGATATGGTTTGTACACTAAAAAGATAACAACATACAAAGTCATATCAGCCTGACTTGTGAGAAAGAGAATAATATTCATCTACCATTCTTAAATGTTCTCTTCAGCCGACGAGATGCTTCAATAAAAACGTTAGTCTACAGGACAGGACAGTATCTAGATTTTCACAGTTTTGTTCCATTCAGTGTAAGCGAGGTCTAATAAATTGCTTTTTTAATCGAATCTGTTGGGTCTGTAAATCGGATACGAGGGATGATGATATCAAATTACTGACTAAAACACTTGTGGAAAACTGATATCGGTTGAAGTTTGTAAACTGTTGTAGAAGTCAGGTAGCACGAAGTCAACTTTATTCACGGTCCCTAAGAAAAGTGTCCATGTCACTCTACCATACAGAGAGGAGTTGAGTAGCATAATTTTAAGATGCAGGCTAGTATCAGCCATTAGTGAAACATTATGCAGCTAAGCTTATTATTGCGGATAAAATAGAACACATACTGCACTGCAAACTTAACGCTGCATGAATGATCAAGTCACATCCCATTGTGCTTACCAGTTTACATGTATGTGGGGCAACACACATAGAGGGGGGGGGGGTCGCGCCATGCAGTTGTGGGTGGAGAGTATGTGCATAAACAGCTTCAAAAATAAATCGAGTGTGGAACTTCGATAACTGTAGGTGGGAGACGACCCTCTTAACCTGTGGCTAAACATATCATGAAAATGGGTCACAAAATTAATGTTCAAACAGCTTTCAAAGTCTATGAAGCAACAGTCACAGGTGCATACTGAGATTTGTGGAAGCGACAGCCATGCATAAATTGAAACCGCCTTTATGTGTAGGTGAATTTTTGTATACGAAGAACAATGAACATTGTCGTGGGATACTAGTTCAAGAGAGTTTGGTTGTGTGCTTGTTATGTGATATATCTAAGTAGTCGAACCTCCATTGTTTTATAATGTTTCTTGTTATATATAGGAACGTTAATTTTTGTCAAAATGTTGCGATCTACCTTTTATTTGGTTCAACATTAAGCGGCAAAACTCCTTTTACAACAATAGTTTATTTGTATTATTCTAAACTACACGTCTGTTATCGGAATAATCTTTCTTAGTATTTCGTTCAATAGATCTAAGCTTTCCTACTTCCAGCAATCAAGTTAGGCTGACATACCAAAAATAGTTCGAGTTAATTGTATCATAAAACAGAAGTAATAATTAACCATTCTGGCACTGTGGACAAAAGTGATTACAGTGGTGACCTTGAAAGAAATTCGGATGGATTCTCTAGTACATTATTGAACAGTATTAAGCGGGAAACATGAATAGGATATACTTACCCATGCCACCAAACAAAACGCAAACATGGAGTATTTAAGGCATTTAAAACAAGCAGTAAATGTTATTTTGGTCATTATGTTTTATTTTTCTTGGTTTCTTTTCTAGTAGTAATGAGAACTGGTTCAACAGATTGATAAATATTAGTGATATGTAAGGTTAAGTTATTTTGTTTCAAGTGTCCAACGTTCACTGTGTAATCCACCGTGTTCCTTTGTTTGTCTTGATTATAATATGCTAAATTCCATCAAAAATGAAATGCTTCCGATTGTTATTCCACTCGTTCAGTTTTGTAGCACACTAATCTTCTGCATGTATTTCACCAGCAGTGGATTGGGATTTCTTTTTTAGTTGTTATTCAGTTAAAACGGAAAAAACTGGATATACTAAAATCTTATGGTGTGTTTAAAGTTATGACCGAGTGAATCACATTCATCAAATGTAGACCGTGTTGTGTGCTGTTACACAATTAATGGTGTTAACTTTCACTCTGACACATTCTTCCTATGTTCTGCTTTTACACACTATGTAGGGGTGTCGAAATGTGTCCGTATTTACTGTAAGAGGCAAATAAAAAGTTAGGTGCAGCACGAATAATACTAACAACACAGTCGTCTCCCATTGTGACAAAATTAAAAGTCACAGCATCTATGATGTATTAAGTACATACATATGCACAACATACAAGCAAACAGAAAAAATGCATAGGTAGATAGACAAACATACAGAGGAAAACAAAGTATGCATAAAACACATCGATCCATCATTCTTTATTTCATTATCTGACCGGTAAAATTCAAATCATTTTTGAATCCACTTGCATTCGATTGGTTAAACTAGATTACGACAGCGATAAGCTACAATATAACCTTCAACAGCGATTAGCCTCGATTATATGTATACTGTCTAAGGAGACAAAGTCATTTTTCTTAATGATTCAGTAAACGGATTACCACATTACATCCTGACATTGCTGGTCTGAATCTTCTGAACCTTTAAAAGAAAAGCGTGTTTAAGCCTAGAAAGACGCAACATAAATTGTCAGCAGTTGGTTATAGATTTCGTAATATCCCTATAGATTGTATTTTCCGTAGAAGAAAAGATATCTGTCTTCATTTCAAAACCACTCCTGGTTAAATAGTTTACTAGCCGGTCCTAAGTCCGGGTAAAGGGGAAAGGTTAGGCATATGGCTAGAAACTCTATACCAAAAAACCAATCTAACCGATAAAGAAACTTCAAAGCACAAACAAAATATAAAACAGAAAATTAAACTCATTCATAGCTAGAATCAGGCAAACGAAATGACACCGGTTGCTGAAAGCCTTCGCAAAGATAATTAACACGTGTGTCTCCTCTCTCTCTCTCTCGATGAAAGCGAAAGTAAAAATGAGGACATGGAATGTCCACACCACCATGTATGAACCTAGCAAGGCTGATCAGATTGCAAAGAGATGAGAAGGTATGGCATAGGAGTGCTAGGAATGTGCGAGGAATCTGCAGATGGAATGGAAGTGGACTCTCCAAACTGGAAAGCAATCAATCATCTACACCGACATTGTCACCCAGATGACAACCACGAGCACACTGAGTTGTGGAGTGGTTATCATGATGTCCACCTCCCAACAGAGTCGAAGGCTGTCTCTCTCTATCTATCTTCTCTATCTCTGATGCAGTGGGAACCAATCTCCTCCTCCAGCATCATGACACAAGATGGATTCAACTCAAAATGAAGGAAGGTCACAATCATACAATGCTGGCAGACGCTATGCACCTACAAATAATGCAGATGAAGAGAAGAGGGAGGAATTCTACACACAACTGCAATCAGTAATGGACAAGACACCAGGCCAGATGGCGACATGAATGCCGAACTGGGAGTGGACAACACAGGAAGGGAAGCAATCATGGGTCGAGAAGCGATCAGTGAAATGATGAATGAGAATGGAGAACTGTCTACAGACTACTGCACATTCAACGATTTGGTGATTGGAGGCAGTGTGTACAAACAAACACAAGGATATTCAGGAGGCAGCGACATGGATTTGATTTCACCATTCATCAGATGGACACAACACACAAAAATCACATCGACTTCATCTCAATGTGAAGAAAGTGGAGACGCAGTCAGCCTACTGGACATAAGATGAGAAGAAGACGGGTAGCAGATGTGGGTTCACACCACTCACCATCTAGTGCAAGGAACCTACCTTCAAATTCAAGTTGAAGGTCTTCATAGAAAGAAGTTGGTGATGATAGACCACAGTTCACGTTCAACACCGAGAAGAGAAAGAAACGTAAAGATGAAACCACAAGAGACATCTTCACGTCAGCCAGTGATGAGGACAAAATGGGAGAAGTTAGGGAACATGGCTGAAGGAAGCTGGAATTCCTTGAGAGAGATGTGGAAGGAAACCTGTATAACCGTATTGGGAAGGAGGAAGAAGGAAGTTGAATGGACCTCGACGGACACATGGAGATGATAGAGCATGGAGAGTAAGATGGTGAAGCAGAAGATGAACCAGTGCAGTGCAGTGCAGTGCGGTGCGGTGTGGTGCAGGGATGAACAAAGAAAAGAGGAACTGAACACAACGAATAAAACACCACACTGGACAACGAAGGGAAGAAGAATGAGAGCAAAGACAAAAGACACCTCCACGACACATTGGCATGTGAAGCAGAACAGACTGCAGGTGGGTGAGATAGAGAGACCTGACAACACTATGTCAACCAACCAAATTACTGTCTATCTGGGAGAGAGGAGATCAACGCAGATGAAACCAATGAAAGAAAGTGAAGGAAGGCTAGTTAGCAAAGAGGCGGAACAAAGGAAACAATGAGCTGATCACTTCGAAAAGCTCTCGAATCGACCTCCACCACCACCACCACCTGCAACACGTCCAGAAATACCACCAGCAGCTCAGACACACAACTACCAGTCAACACAAGACCTCCGACAAAAGTAGAAGTGTAGTCCTCAACGCCACGTGATAAAGCTGCTGAAATCCGTGAGGGCAGCAGGACCAGATGGAATTCCTCCAGAAGCACTGAAAACAGACTCACAGTGGACACACTCACACCACCACTGCAGAAGATTTGGAAATAAGGAAGGAAGGAAGGAAGGAAAGATACCTGCCCATTGATTGGAAGTAGGGCTACCTTGTCAAACTGTCGAAGAAGAGCGACCCACATCTTTGCAAGAACTGGCGCTGAATCATGCTCCACCTCTGTCCACTCCGAGCGAAATATTAAGCTGCATCATCCTGGAGAGACTCCAAGGAAAAGGCTCTGCCTTAAAGACTAAAACCGGAACAGGCTGCCTGGCTGGCTGGCTGACTGCCTGGTTTCAGGAAGAACGAATCGTGTGCGGATCAAATTGCAATGCTACACTACACTACACTACACTACTCATCATCATAGAACAGAGCATAGAATGCCAGTCAACTGGATCTTCACCTCAACTCCATCGATTTCGAAAAGGCCTTCGACAGTGTCGACCGAGAAGCAATTTGGCGGGCAACTGATTCAACACTATGGTTTCATAGCCACAAAACTTCATCAACCTCATTCAACAGCTATATGACGATGCCACATGCCGAGCGACTCACACTGGAAAGCTACTGAGTGACGCCCTCGAAGTGAAGACAGGAGTAGGACAAGGTTGCCGTCTACTATCACCGATCATCTTCCTGATTGTGGCCAACTGGACTGAACGGGACTGGACTGGACTGAATTGGATCGTGCAGCAAACCGTGAGTAGCTATTAGAAGGAGGGTATACGCTGACTGGACCGATGAAAAGATCCCAGAAGAAGATTTGGATTTCGCCAACAATGATGATTTGTGTCCAGTGTCTCATTGCACAAACTCGGAGATCTACAGACAAAGATCAACAAGTTGACAGAAGAGGTGAGGTGAGGTGATGCAGTGAAGGATGATGGGACTTCCTTCAGGTGAACATAGAGAAGACAGAGATGATGAAGATACCCAACCACCACCACCACCAACAACAACAACAAGAAAAGAAGAGGCACCAATCACCATGAATGGGACAAACCTGAAGGGAGTGGTCTCTTCCACCTACCTAGGCAAAGCAGCATCGTTTCAATTACAGGTGGTGGCACAGGCACAGATGATCGGTGAGACAGAATGACAGGCCTTCCTACATTAATCTGAAATCAGTGTGGAGATCTACTGCACTGCACTGTGCTGCAGATCACTTCACTGCTCTGCACACAGCATCATGCGTGAACGACATCCGGATTTTGAACACTAATTCAGTCAAGTGAGTCAGTGCTTCTATGTGATGGTTGGGAGAGTTGGTGTGTCTCACACGAAGCATTTCCAACAAACTCCAGACATGCATCATCAACAGCTGCTGTCTACACTCCGTCCCTCAATACTGAAAATCAGATGGTGAGAAAAATCAGAATGATCGTGAGGGAACTGTGGTTTATTGTTGGCTGGCTGGCTGGCAACGATCCACCGAAGCAGGAACCCATCACCCATTGAATATACAGAAGGAAGTGGATATGAATTGGATTGGGTATACAGTGAGAAGACCGATTGTGGACATCACGCGCCGGGTCACGTCACATCACGTCAGGCCAGGTCGTCGAGTGGAAGCCGCATGTGAAACGACGAGTTGGATGTTCGAAGTGAGGTTGACATGGAGGAGATGGTGTTTGGAATGAATGAAGGATTGTGGTCTGACAGTTGTGGAGCGAGTTAGATAAGGCTGGAGAGCAGAGAGTGGAATGGAGACATGTTACTGAAACCCTATTTTTCACTAGGATCCGATGGGATGGTTTATAATAATTGTAATAATAATAGGTTATACTTTTGGCATTCAGTTGCTTCGAAATTCAATGATCATTTTTTCTTTCTCCCTATTCCTTAAAGTGAACACATCGACAGCAAATAAGAAAATACGTCTTGTTTTATATTCGGAATTTTAAGCTGTGTTCCGTTGCAGAGTTTTTTGAACTATCTCTCAATCTGGTCAACATTAGGAATACTGTGCACTGCGTCCAGTTGATGCAATTATACTGCTGAACGAAATGAATAGTTAGAAACCACT